TAGGACGCGTGAAAATTTCTCCTTGTCTTTGATTTCTTTATTGAGTATTTTATTCAAACACTTTTTTGCATCAGCATATCGACATGTTTCCAGGTAACAGTCTGTTATCTCAATGAAATATTTAAAAAATACGATGTCACACTTTGCGTCACCTTGATTGCGAGCAAGTTCTCGCACGTTGTGTTCAAGTAAATTAATTGCCGATTGAAATCTTCCAGGTTTTTCGTGCATTTTTCGATGTTTATAAGATATTTTCAACAAGGTGAAATCACTGGCAACTTCCTTTCGCAGACGTCTGCTTGTTTGGTACGAAACGATTGTCGATTCATATTCTTTCCTGCTTTGGTAGGCAAGTCCAGCAGCTTTAGCAAGTTCTGCTTCAATGATCAACGTGGTTTTTCTGATCAATTTTTCTCTTCTCAATAGACGTACGGGCAACAACCATTGCAGAGGCGTCAGCATCGACGAAATACATGTCGTTCTCAATCTTTTCTCCTTCCATGTCGTTTAACAACTCTTGCGCATCGATTTCATCATGTTTGAATGTTTTCAATCTCTCGCCACGTTGCAGCAACCTTTGAAACAAAGTTTTACTTTCTATGTTTTGCTTTACAAAATCGTACTACTCAGAATTGTAGTGATTCTACGTTCCCTTTTTTTGTTTCCATAAGAAAAGAAATGAATATTGTATGAATTATTTTTATCGATGTTGCTTCAAACTAAAGCGATTTGTTATTTCGATATTAAACTATAATTTTGATAGATACTATCTTAGATGTCGTGTCTGCTTTCTTATGCTATGCCATTTGTTGAGCTATGAGTCCATTTTTTCAATTTTTGATCTTTGCTGTTTATTAACCTTTTTATATTGTAATTGGTCTGTCATGTCTAACATTCACAGATGTTTGCATTGCACACGACATCTTTGTCGAAGTTTTGAAATTGCTAGTTGAGCGCTGTGCTACTACTGTTTCAGTATACTGTACATACAGTATGATGAGGCTCCAAATCTGTCCTTATATTGCAAGTAATGACGAAGATAAGAAGGCTTCTGGACAGAAATATAGTCTTGTTGTTGACAACTTGACAACTAAACGTAGTCGACAAGCAAAACCCACCGTCTGTGGATAAGTTGTCGACAACTAAACGTGTAAAATTGTAGTTGTCGACAACAAAGCGGTTTCCCTTTTTTGCAAGGGAACTGCTATCACACAAAAGTGTTGTTTGTCGACTACATTTAGTTTTGACTACGGAAAGTTGTCGACGACATAATACCTACTCTTTGGAGGCCTTTAGCAATTTTATTAACAAATCGAAGTAGAAAAATATACTTGGAGCATGGTATTGATGATTTTTGGTTCAATCAAGCAGAGACGAAATGCCTTTTTTCGTTTGTTTTGTGAAATAATAGTTTGAAAACGTTTATATTTATACTTTTAAAATTTTTTTGAAAATATACTATTGAATGTTTTATAAGCCGTCTTTTTATCACATAGATTTTTTATGTTTTCCTTTGTGCTGACAATTTTAAACTGGTGCACTTCACATTTTTTCAAAGACTTCTTTAGTTGATAACTTATTTCTTGTGTGATAATTCCGAGGCTATGTGCAAGCGTAGCGATTTTTGGTTTCAAGATGGCGTACATCGTTGTACAACAACGCAGTCAAACAACGCTCATTTTCTCCTTAATGTGCAACTTTTAGATTTGACATACCTTCGGGAAATGATAAATATAATATAAACAACCTATGTTGTAAAATTCAGCTGGTTCCTCAGTGGACGCATGGCGATGTTATTTCTAGACGACTTTTTGCGATTGGGCCTATGGCGTATTAGCTACGTGTTTTCTGTTTTAAGCGTCATCTCTCAATTTAGAAATGACGTTAACTTTTTCTAACATTATTAATATCGCATGATTTTAAATATATAGGCTTGAGGCCGGCTTTTAACCCTCAAAGTAGATTATCAGTGTTTGAGTATAAAGGCTAGAGGACGGTTTTTAACACTCAAAGTTGACTATTAGTGTTTGAATATATATGCTACAGGACGGTTTTTAACCCTCAAAGTTCACCATCAGTTTTTAAATATATAAGCTAGAGGCCGGTTTTTAACCCTCAAAGTTGACCATCAGTGTTTGAATATATAGGTTGGAAGCCGGCTTTTAACCCTCAAAGTTGACTATTAGTGTTTGAATATATATGCTACAGGCCGGTTTTTAACCCTAAAAGTTCACCATCAGTTTTTAAATATATAGGCTAGAGGCCGGTTTTAACCCTCAAAGTTGACCATCAGTGTTTGAATATATAGGTTGGAAGCCGGCTTTTAACCCTCAAAGTTGACTATTAGTGTTTGAATATATATGCTACAGACCGGCTTTTAACCCTCAAAGTTGATCCTCACTGTTTCAATATATAGGCTTGAGGCCGACTTTTAACCCTTAAAGTTGACCAACAGTGTTTAAATATATAGGCTGGAGGCCAGCTTTTAACCCTCAAAGTTGAATATCAGTTTTTAAATATATGGGCTAGAGGGTGGATTTTAACCCTTAAAGTTGACCAAAAATTGTTTAAATATATAGGCGTGAGGCCGGCTTTTAACCCTCAAAGTTGACCATCATGTTTGAATATATAGGCTAGAGGCCGGTTTTTAACCCTCAAAGTTGACTATCAGTGTTTTAATATATAAGCTACAGGCCGGCTCTTAACCCTCAAAGTTGACCTTCAGTGTTTAAATATATAGGCTTGAGACCGGCTTTTAACCCTCAAAGTTGACCATCAGTGTTTGAATATATTACCTAAAGGCCCGTTTTTAACCCTTAAAGTTGACTATCAGTGTTTGAATATATAGGCTACAGGCTGGTTTTTAACCCTGAAAGTTGACCTTCAGTGTTTAAATATATAGGCTTGAGGCCGGCTTTTAACCCTCAAAGTTGATCTTCACTGTTTCAATATATAGGTTTGAGGCCGACTTTCAACCCTTAAAGTTGACCTTCAGTGTTTAAATATATAGGCGTGAGGCCTGCTTTTAACCCTCAAAGTTGAGCATTAGTGTTTGAATATAAAGGCTAGAGGCCGGTTTTTAACCCTCAAAGTTAATCTTCAATGTTTATATATATAGCCTTGAGGCAGGCTTTTAACCCTCAAAGTTGACCTTCAGTGTTTAAATATATAGGCTTGAGGCCGGCTTTTAACCCTCAAAGTTGACCATCAGTGTTTGAATATATAGGCTAGAGGCCGGCTTTTAACCCTTCAATTTGACCATCAGTGATTGAATATATAGGCTACAGGCCGGCTTTTAACCCTCAAAGTTGATCTTCACTGTTTCAATATATAGGCTTGAGGCCGACTTTCAACCCTTAAAGTTGACCAACAGTGTTTAAATATATAGGCGTGAGGCCGGCTTTTAACCCTCAAAGTTGACCATCATGTTTGAATACATAGGCTAGAGGCCGGTTTTTAACCCTTAAAGTTGACTATCAGTGTTTTAATATATAAGCTACAGGCCGGCTTTTAACCCTCAAAGTTGACCATCATGTTTGAATATATAGGCTAGAGGCCGGTTTTTAACCCTCAAAGTTGAGCATCAGTGTTTGAATATAAAGGCTAGAGGCCGGTTTTTAACCCTCAAAGTTAATCTTCAATGTTTATATATATAGCCTTGAGGCAGGCTTTTAACTCTTAAAGTTGACCAAAAGTGTTTAAATATATAGGCTAGAGGGCAGCTTTTAACCTTCAAAGTTGAATATCAGTGTTTGAATATATAGGTTGGAAGCCGGCTTTTAACCCTCAAAGTTGACCCTTAGTTTTTGAATATATATGCTACAGGCCGGCTTTTAACCCTCAAAGTTGATCTTCATTGTTTCAATATATAGGCTTGAGGCCGACTTTTAACCCTTAAAGTTGACCAACAGTGTTTAAATGTATAGGCTGGAGGCCAGCTTTTAACCCTCAAAGTTGAATATCAGTGTTTAAATATATGAGCTAGAGGGTGGATTTTAACCCTTAAAGTTGACCAAAAATTGTTTAAATATATAGGCGTGAGGCCGGCTTTTAACCCTCAAAGTTGACCATCATGTTTGAATATATAGGCTAGAGGCCGGTTTTTAACCCTCAAAGTTGAGCATCAGTGTTTGAATATAAAGGCTAGAGGCCGGTTTTTAACCCTCAAAGTTGACTATCAGTGTTTTAATATATAAGCTACAGGCCGGCTCTTAACCCTCAAAGTTGACTATCAGTGTTTTAATATATAAGCTGCAGGCCGGCTCTTAACCCTCAAAGTTGACCTTCAGTGTTTAAATATATAGGCTTGAGACCGGCTTTTAACCCTCAAAGTTGACCATCAGTGTTTGAATATATTACCTAAAGGCCCGTTTTTAACCCTTAAAGTTGACTATCAGTGTTTGAATATATAGGCTACAGGCTGGTTTTTAACCCTGAAAGTTGACCTTCAGTGTTTAAATATATAGGCTTGAGGCCGGCTTTTAACCCTCAAAGTTGACCATCAGTGTTTGAATATATAGGCTAGAGGCCGGCTTTTAACCCTTCAATTTGACCATCAGTGATTGAATATATTACCTAAAGGCCCGTTTTTAACCCTCAAAGTTGACTATCAGTGTTTGAATATATATGCTACAGGACGGTTTTTAACCCTCAAAGTTCACCATCAGTTTTTAAATATATAGGCTAGAGGCCGGTTTTTAACCCTCAAAGTTGACGATCAGTGTTTGAATATATAGGCTGGAGGCTGGCTTTTAACCCTCAAAATTGACCATTAGTGTTTGAATATATAGGCTAGAGGCCTTTTTTTAAATTTAAGGATCAGAATTAAGGTGGGAAATATTGTTATGTTTATATTATGCTGTAGCAAAGCCAACTTTACAAAGTAAATGTTTCACTTCCACTTACTACCTGCTAATGCCATGGCGACATTTAGATTGATGACAGCCAACTTGAAACAAGTATTTTGTCACCTTTTCTTGGTTTACAGTTATCAATAAATATCAGTTTTTATGTAAGTTTATTTGGTGACTTCTACATTCAGTACATGATTAATTATTTCTACGAACCTTTCAGGTAAAGCAAAATAAAAATTATTAGGATTGCAATACATAAATGATCTTACGCAGGTATTCTTGAATGAAAGAAAATCCGCTATACAAATAGGTAAATGTGCTTTCATTCTTCAGTTTCTCTTGCTGAGTTTTTACAACAATAGATCTTCTATCCTAAATTGTACTGGCTTTCCTTAAAATGCACGCAATCGCGAATTTCAAGCGTTAGCAACTGATTATATGCCTGGCTTACTTTTATTTCATTTTGATAAAGAACAGTCAAATTAACGTAAGGTCTGGTATTTTTAAACTTAATTTTCACTCTTTCCATTGTTCTTAGAAGAGGGATTATCTGGAAGAGGCTTCCACCTTATTTCTATGTTCTCTTCTATATTCTTGGCCATATTTTCTATCTCGCTTTCTATTTTTATCCTTTTCGTTTCGTATTCCTTGGCCTCCTGCTCGTCATCTTTCATATACAAATTGTAGAGCAGCTTATAAATGTCTATCAGCCACCAATGGTCTTCTGAAAACAAATATTTGGTGATATCGGAAGCTTGTAACAGTTTTTTCTTTGCTTCTTTAAATTTTCCCGCCTTGAAAAGGCAGAGACCAAGAACTGACAAGCTCCTAGCAATTCCAGGATTGTAGTAATAAGGGACAGAATTTTTTATCTTTTCCAGAGCCTGTTGGGCGTAAGCCAAAGCACGGTCGTATTCTGGTTCATGTTTTAAGGACAGGTATGCTGCCAAATTTCTCAGTGCTAAGGAAATGCCTATCTCGTCATTAAGTTGATCGTACTTTTCTTTAGCTCTCTCCAGAGAGTCCTTAGCCTTATCGAAGTCACCTTTCTTCAACAAGCAAAACCCAACGTTGTAAAGAGATTCAGCCACTAGGGAATCCTTATTCGGTGTATTTAACTTCTCTCTTATTTTTTGGGCTTTGCGAACAAACTCAAGCCCTTTTTCTTTCATTCCAAGACTTACGAAACATAATCCAATGTTATTTTGAATTTCTGCTTTTTCAGGGTTGTCGTCGTCTGGGGTGTATGTAGCTGCCTCCGTATAAAGATTGACAGCTTTCACAAATTTACCTTGTTGCTGTTTGCACCATGCTTCCTTGGTAAAGACACGTGCAAATTTCTCATCATTGATATCTTCTTTCTTTTTATACTTTAATCGAAATTCTTCCAAGTATTCTTCCGCATCAGCATATCGAAACGTTGCTAGGTAACAGTCTGCTATCTCGATCAAAGTATCGACCAGTATATCATCAATCTTCTTGTCACCTTGATGGCCAACTAGGATGTTAACGTTGGATTTAAATGATTTCATTGCCAATTGAAATCTCCCCTGTTTTTTCATGCATTTTGCAATTTTATATGAGACTTCGAAATAAGTGAAATCAATTCCGACTTTCTTTTGCAGACGTTTGCTTGTTTCGTACGAAACGATTGCTGATTCATATTCTTTCCTGCTTTCGTAGGCAAGTCCTGCAACTTTAGCAAGTCGTGCTGCTGTGGTCAACGTGGTTTTCTGCTCATTTTTCACTTTTTTAACAGATGTAAAGACAACAACCATTGCAGTGGCAACAACGTCGACGAGAAACATGTCATCCTCAGCCTTTTCTTTTTTCATGTAATCTAACATCTTTTGGACATCAATTTCATCAAGCTTGAATTTTTTTAAACTTTCACCACGTGGCGATAACCTTTGAAACAAAGTTTTGTTCCATCTATGTTGCTTCACAACGTCGTTGTACACTGCGTTTCCATCGGTTGATTCTTTGACAAAATAATTTACCCAACTTTCAAAACCTGTATTAGAATCAATTGCTGATTCTAAATGCAATGGAGGTGCAATTGATAAAACCGAAACTATTTTTACGTCTTTACCATCTTTTCCAAAATGTTTTTGTGCTCTGGGAATTGCTTGTTTCAAAGGACAATTTCCACCAACGCCTCCATCTACAAATTTATCGTTGCCAATGTCTACTGGAGTATTAAAGTATATTGGAGCATTTGAGGAGGCGAGCAAGACTTCGTAAGCTTTGTAATTGTTGTAGTCTTCGCTTGCTGTATCAAATAGTACGAGATCTCCTTTTTCGCCGAGTTTTCTTGCAACAGCTCCAGCAACGTTCTTCAAAGGACCCACTCCGCCTAGATCACTTAAGATGCAATCACCAAACTGATCCTCCAGGGCTTTCTCTACGTTACCTTGTGAATATGTCAGAAGTGGGATTTTGGACAGCAAAGGTATGTAAGAATAAAACCAGTGGGACCAGGTCTTCCTAAAAATTTCTCTAGTCTTTGTGAGATACATCTGAATGCATTCTTCCACAGTCATCCGTTCTCTTTTACGATGGTTGTTGCCAACTTTATTTCCGCCAACTAAACCAAACGCGATCAGAGCTCCTGTACTGGTACCAACTATCATCTCGTACACTTCAGCTGGATGAATGGGATCCTTAACGTCTCTCAAATCGTTGATCAAACGTTCTCGAACTGCGCGATCTTCCAGGAAATTTTCTTCCTTTTCATCATTTTCTTCCTTTACAAGATATTTCACAGTCTCAGGTGTTTTCAAAACAATCGTTGCCAAACGTAAAACGTCGTCGAGAATCTTCAATTCCATTACACCTCGACTTCCTCCGCCATCAAAAGACAATATGTCAATCCTCTTTTTTGTTAAATCCATTTCGACATTTAAACCCTGCATTTGAAAGTAATAATAGCACGTATTAAATCTCATTTTTTTGTGAGTTCACTTTGCTCTTCCTTTATATTAGAGAGCTTAAACTAGAGATGTTTTGAAATCTGTAACGTCAAGCGGAAGTAAATTTAACGATTTTGATGACGTAGCCGTCTATGAGGCGAAGTCAAAGGCGGACAATTGGTTGTTTTGGCGCTCTTGTTTTTTAACAGAAACGTGACAGGCAAACGTAATTCTTTTGTTTTATTCTATAAAAATGTGTTATGTTGACATATAATTAAAACAAAATGCCAAACTCAATTGAAGGCAAAAGAAAACTTAGCTTACATATTGAGTCAGCTTAACGAAAACCTTTACATCAAAACCCGCGTCATAGATCTAGTTCCCAAACGTAACTCATGACGTTCGTCTTAACAAAAATGTTGATAGCTTAAGTTCATTATTGTGTTATTAGAGTCGTTACATGTGCAAGAAGCTATCAAAGAGATGGTCTCTTGATTGATGATCATTCACGATGAAAAAATTGCACATATGTATTGTTTGACTTTGAGTAAAACGATTGTCTTAGAATTGCATCATTTTAAGGCTGAAATTTTTTAAAGCTTTTGTTTTACACAAGATGCAAACCTATTTATGGGTTACATTCTGTTATTAATGACGTTTCTTCGGCGAAGACCGGGTGGGGGTCAAGGGCGGATTATCCACTAAGCTAAGTAGTCTTAAGCCTACGGGCGCGTGTTTTCGAGAGGCCCGTTGTATTTAGACGTAATTAGGATTTGAACATTTTTGCTATTCTGGGGTAGCTAAATGTGCTTAAGTTAGATCATGTCTGCTGTTGAACACCTTACGAGCAATCGAATGCAGAGGAAAAATGGCTTTCGTACTATCTACACTTCGAATGCGCAATATTCAGAACTCATGAAGTATTGGCTTTTTTCCCCAAGCAAAAAAAAACTAAACATAGTGGGAGGAATAATTATTGCTTAAAGGCCCACAAATTGGTCTTACCCTACAGGCCCCGTAAATAGTAATACCCCACTGGTTGGGGTATTAAAGAGAGCTTGTCAATTTGGTCACGGGTAAAAAGTCGCGAAAAGGTTCAAAAAAGTAGGTAGTGATAAGTTTACAGAAACTCCTAATTTTATATATGCCCACTTTAACGGATTCTTGGAGCCAACAACGCGACTCCAGGGCGCCATACGTAAAAGAAATATTTACAGGTTATATGGTCTCATTTTACTCTCATTTTTTGCTAAAATAATTCATTATTTAGGAACAATTTATTTCTACGCCTAAATAAACCATTAATGATTTACAAATAAGCAGTTCATTTTTTAACATATAATATATATGTTATTTAACAAATAATATATTATATGTTAAACAATGAACTGCTTATTTCTAAATCATTGAGGGTTTATTTAGGCGTAGAACTAAAATGTAGAAATAAATTGAAAATAGCGATAAAATGAGACGAAATAACCTGTAAATATATTTTTTATATTTTTTTATGTCGCTCCATACGCAACATTATAACATGCATGCTGCTAAATTTAATGATTTTGCGTAATGTGAGTTTGTTTTGCCTGTCGATTGGGATATTCATTAGTAATAAAATAAGGACTTTTTTGTAGTGACAAATCCAAAAATTGTCTTAAAAATCGCAAATGCCATTGTAAATGGTTAAAAATAAAAACTTAATATTTCTTGCAACGAGCAACTAGCTAGTCTGTTGCCATGCTGTCCGCATAATTTCTCGCCATGATTAGTTTGTAAGAAGACAATATTAAAGTTTTCATATCCTGGAAATTGTAAACACGTATAGTCTACATCGTAAGAGATGGATAGATGATAATTACAACTTAACCTTACACAACCACGATTAGAAAGTTACCTGTCTATTCTCCCATTATGTCATATTGTAAATGAATTTTCTATAGATAAGAAACTACACAGCTCAAACAAGGGTTCCTACCAAATTCAGTATTATTATATAGAGACACTAAGATCACCCATTCAGCTTTAAGACAATTTTATGTATCGTTTCACTGGTAGCAATGTTTCATCGAAAAATGTAAAGTGAGCCGAGATTCTTTCATCTCTTCTGTTCGTTACCAAAATGTAACGTATGCACATATACAAACGTTTATAAAATATTGGAGGCAGACTGAAAAAAATAATGATACACATTTGATACATTTGATAAAAATAATGATACAATCCACAAAATTTCCTAGTGTGCGCGGAAGTTTTGAACAACATTTGTCATTCGTGTTTGATATTTGACGTTTGATATTTGACTCATCTGTCACGAATGACAAATGTTGTTCAAAACTTCCGCGCACACTAGGAAATTTTGTCGATCGCACTTGTCACGAATAACAAGTACGCGCGGCAAGTTCACCATTGTGCGGCGGGCTTTAGTCTCGCTATAGTATAGTAGCTACAAAGACCTTTTGCATTACCCAAATTTTGTGGCAATTATAACGTGCTAAACTCAAGCTCTTTCACAAATTATGGAAATTATGTGGAGAAGAAACATGGAACCTTCTTAAATTTGGTCTCATTGAGCATCTGCAATGAAATACGTATTATGAATTTAAGACTTTTTCTTCGTAAACCCATGCATCTTTCTTATAAACCTCTTATCGCAGGCACGATGCCTAAAAGTATAGCTTTGTGGCAACTAAGAGAAATGGGCAAAATACCAACAAGTTTAAGTCACACGCCCGTCTTTTAAAAGCTCGCTTAGTCTCATTACGTGGTGCTTCAACATCAGGACTTCATAATTATTTGAAAACAATATTTTCACTTCAATGATAGCTAAGCTTGATTAGAAATATGTTAGCAAAAACATTGTCATTGAAGGCATTGATTGAAAAATAACTTTGCCACTGATTAAAGAGAGCGAAATTATAAGTTGCACTCTGTGTGTGTGAGTATGTTTTAGGTTATAGGATACGAGCACGTAGTAATGAATTTTTCGCATGTAATATATAAAAAGGAATTAACTGTTAACTTATCCCATCTTATGTTTGGAAGTTCCTTCAACACGAACAGTTCAACTGTTGATTTCCCCCTCTATTATTGACAACCTTGCGTCGGCATAACAGTGCCAAATATTTTTGCATAATCAAGTGCACATCCGCTAAGTACAAAAATAGCATGGCATATTAATTGCATGACATGATGTTATTGCTCGGTAAAAATTTGACATAAACCAACATTGGTAAAAACGAAATAGGCAACTACTACCACAGTCCATTGCAATCATCTTACTACTACTTTTCGAAACTTACGTTCCTTGGTGTCGTTAAAATGGCGGTGAAGGAAGTTTCCTTTCCCCAACGCCTACATTTTAATTGGGGTAATTATGTGCAACAAGAACTTTGAACACAGACTTGATGTCATTTAACATTTAGCTTGAAAGAAAAAAGAATTAAAATTCTTCCTACAAGAACGCAAGTTTGTTCATATTATCATAAAATGTAAATTGTGCATCAAATGTACATAATTTGAATGAAAATACAAAATATCCTAACATGTAAACTCCGAAGATTTATGTGCGGGCTACTAAGACTACACTGACGAACTACTTATTTCTGGCATGATGTCATAAACTTGTACAACTAGCTATGCATTCGACTTGCAATTCAGCCATGTTTTTGGTCTGATACAAAATAATATTTTATCAGAGAAACTACACAGCTCAAATAAGGGTTCCTACCACATTCAGTATTATTATATAGCGACACTAAGATCACCCATTCAGCTTTAAGACCATTTTACGTATCCTTTCACTGGTAGCAATGTTTCATCGAAAAATGTAGAGTGAGCCGAGATTCTTTATCTCTTCTGTTCGTTACCGAAATGCTTTGCTAACTATGCACACATACAAACGTCTATGAATCATTGGAGGCAGAATGAAACAAATTATGATACACATTTGAGTAGAAAGTTGATAGTACAGTACAAGACTATAGCACTTAAGAAGTATTGGACTACTTCCGGGATGATAACTCGCAGACACTCGCAGCGAGCTTACCATGACTTGCAGCAGCATAGTTAAATTAATTGAACAAAATTTTTTGATCGCGCGAACAGACTCGCAAGCTCGCAGCGAGAGCATTTTGTGATGAGTGGAAAAGAGACCTTGCACTTGGTATGTCGCGAAAGCCTAGTTGTAAGATCTGCTAAAATAAACGTTTCTACGTCTTGTAACGACTAAATACTGGAAAAGGATATAAGCGTGATATACTACACAACTTTTGTTAATCTTGCTTTCTTTTCTGAACATATCCTTATCAGGTCCGCACTTGGTGAAGAATTATTGCACATGTTTCACAGACATACCGATGCAACAGCATGATTTATTACAACATGATTATTGGTTGACTGTGTTTTAACAAATCTTCCTTGGTCATTTTCCTACATCAAATATATATTGCTTATGCCTAAATGCGAAATACGTTTTTCTTGTTCACTCTTTTCAGGGGTAATGAGAAAATGTACTATTTTCTGAAAAGCGGCCAATTTTGCTCGCTAAATCGTAGCAGGAATTGACCGATACCGCCATTTTTTGCATGGGAATCAGCTGCCATCTACAGCCGTGATTGAGAATTCAATGATCAATTCCATCTATATTATACAGATTTTTGATGTGGATAGAACTCGGTATGATGAATAATATTGACCGACTACCTTTCCACTACATACACGTTTGTTAATAATGCTAAAAACTCGTTGGTGGAAGCATAACGCACCTTATTAGTATTCTTGATTGTTCAGGCAAGACTTGTGAATTTTGAAGTCTTTCTTCGGTGGCATTTGTGTTTGCTGTGTTTAGAATTTTCTTCAACACAAGCAGTTCAACTGTTGATTTCCCCCTTATTAATGACAATCCCTTATGGGCGGAAGTTTTGAACAACATTTGCCATTCGTGACAGATGAGTCAAATATCAAACGCGTCAAATATCAAACAGCAAATATCAAACACGAATGACAAATGTTGTTCAAAACTTCCGCGCACACTTGGAAATATTGTCGATCGCACTTGTCACGAATAACAAGTACGCGCGGCAAGTTCACCATTGTGCGGCGGGCTTTAGTCTCGCTACAGTATAGTAGCTACAAAGACCTTTTGCATAACCCAAATTTTGTGGGAATTATAACTTGCTAAACTCAAGTTCTTTCACAAATTATGGAAATTATGTGGAGAAGACACATGGAACCTTCTTAAATTTGGTCTCATTCAGCATCTGCAATGAAATACGTATTATGAATTTAAGACTTTTTCATCATAAACGCATGCATCTTTCTTATAAACCTCTTATCGCAGGCACGATGCCTAAAAGTATAGCTTTGTGACAACTAAGAGAAATGGGCAAAATACCAACAAGTTTAAGTCACACGCCCGTCTTTTCAAAGCTCGCTTAGTCTCATTACGTGGTGCTTCAACATCATGACTTCATAATTATTTGAAAACAGTATTTTCACTTCAATGATTGCTAAGCTTGATTAGAAATATGTTAGCAAAAACATTGTCATTGAAGGCATTGATTGAGAAGTAACTTTCCTTTGAGTAAAGAGAACGCAAATTATATGTTGCACTCAGTGTGTGTGTGAGTATGTTTAGGTTATAGGCTACGAGCACGTAGTAATGATTTTTTCTCATGTAATATATAAAAATGAATTAACTGTTAACTTATCACAACTTATGTTTGGAAGTTCCTTCAACACGAGCAGTTAAACTGTTGATTTCCCCCTCTATTATTGACAACCCTTGCGTCGGCATAACAGTGCCAAATATTTTTGCATAATCAAGTGCACATCCGCTAAGTACAAAAATAGCATGGCATATTAATTGCATGACATGATGTTATTGCTCAGTTAAAATTCGACATAAACCAACATTGGTAGAAACGAAATAGGCAACTACTTCAACAGTCCACTGCAATCATCTTACTACTACTTTTCGAAACTTACGTTTCTTGGTGTCGATAAAAAAGCGGTTAAGGAAGTTTTCATTCACCAACGCCTACATTTTAATTGGGGTAATTATGTGCAACAAGAACTTTGAACACAGACTTGATGTCATTTAACATTTAGCTTGAAAGAAACAAGAATTAAAATTCTTCCTAGAAAAACGCAAGTTTGTTCATATTATCATAAAATGTAAATTGTGCATCAAATGTACATAATTTGAATGAAAATACAAAATATCTTAACATATAAACTCCAAAGATTTGTGTGCCGGCTACTAAGACTACACTGACGAACTATTTATTTCTGGCATGATGTCATAAACTTGTACAAGTAGCTATGTATTCTTGACTTGCAATTCAGCCATGTTTTTGGTCTGATACAAAATAATATTTTATGAGAGAAACTACACAGCTCAAATAAGGGTTCCTATCAAATTCAGTATTATTATATAGCGACACTAAGGTCACCCATTCAACTTTAAGACCATTTTATGTATTGTTTCACTGGTAGCAATGTTTCATCAAAAAATGTAGAGTGAGCCGAGATTCTTTCATCTCTTCTGTTTGTTACCGAAATGCTTCGCTAACTATGCACACATACAAACGTCTATAAAATGATGGTGGCAGACTGAAACAAATAATGATACACATTTGAGTAGAAGGTTGAAAGTACAGTACAAGAATATAGCACCGAAGAAGTATTTAAATGCTTCAGGGATAATAGTGACTCTATCCACACATATTTCAGCACTTATTCCTTCAGTAAAGACCCTATTTTTCAAACTCGCTTTCCTTACTCTTGCTACAGTATAGTAGCTACAAAGTCCTTTTGCAACACCCAAAATTTGCAGCAATTATAACGTGCTAAACTCAAGTTTTTTTCACAAATTATGGAAATTTTGTGGAGAAGAAACATGGAACCTTCTTAAATTTGGTCCCATTGAGCATCTGCAATGAAATACGTATTATGAATTTAAGACTTTTTCTTCATAAACGCATGCATCTTTCTTATAAACCCCTTATCGCAGACACGATGCCTAAAAGTATAGGTTTGTGAGAACTAAGAGAAATGGGCAAAATTCCAACAAGTTTAAGTCACACGCCCGTCTTTTAAAAACTCGCTTACTCTCCCTACGTGGTGCTTCAACATCATGACTTTATAATTATTCGAAAACAGTATTTTCACTTCAATGATTGCTAAGCTTGATTAGAAATATGTTAGCCAAAACATTGTCATTGAAGGCATTGATTGAGAAATAACTTTGCCATTGATTAAAGAGAGCGCGAATTATATGTTGCACTCAGTGTATGTGTGTATGTTTAGTTTATAGGATACGGGCACGGAGTAATGATTTTTTCTCATGTGATATATAAAAATGAATTGACTGTTAACTTATCCCAACTTATGTTTGGAAGTTCCTTCAACACGAGCAGTTGAAGTGTTGATTTCCCCTTTTATTAATGACAACCTTGCGTAGGCATAACAGTGCCAAATATTTTTGCATAATCAAGTGCACATCCGCTAAGTACAAAAATAGCATGGCATATTAATTGCATGACATGATGTTAATGCTCGGTTAAAATTCGACATAAACCAACATTGGTAAAAACGAAATAGGCAACTACTACCACAGTCCACTGCAATCATCTTACTATTACCTTTCGAAACTTACGTTCCTTGGTGTCGTTAAAATGGCGGTGAAGGAAGTTTTCATTCACCAACGCCTACATTTTAATTGGGGTAATTATGTACAACAAGAACTTTGAACATAGACTTGATGTCATTTAACATTTAGCTTGAAAGAAAAAAGAATTAAAATTCTTCCTACAAGAACGCAAGTTTGTTCATATTATCATAAAATGTAAATTGTGCATCAAATGTACATAATTTGAATGAAAACAAAAAATATCCTAACATGTAAACTCAGAATATTTGTGTACGGGCTACTAAGACTACACTGACGAACTACTTATTTCTGGCATGATGTCATAAACTTGTACAAGTCGCTATGCATTCTTGAGTTGCAATTCAGCCATGTTTTTGGTCTGATACAAAATAATATTTTATCAGAGAAACTACACAGCTCAAATAAGGGTTCCTATCAAATTTAGTATTATTATATAGCGAGACTAAGATCACCCATTCAGCTTTAAGACCATTTTATGTATCGTTTCACTGGTAGGAATGTTTCATCGAAAAATGTAGAGTGAGCCGAGATTCTTTCATCTCTTCTGTTCGTTACCGAAATGCTTCGCTAACTATGCACACATACAAACGTCTATAAAACATTGGTGGCAGACTGAAACAAATAATGATACACATTTGAGTAGAAAGTTGATAGTACAGTACAAGACTATAGCACTGAAGAAGTATTGGACTACTTCAGGGATGATAACTCGCAGACACTCGCAGCGAGCTTACCATGACTTGCAGCAGCATAGTTAAATTAATTGAACAAAATTTTTTGATCGCGCCAACAGACTCGCAAGCTCGCAGCGAGAGCATTTTGTGATAAGTAGAAAAGAGCCCTTACACTTGGTATGTCGCGAAAGCCTAGTTGTAAGATCTGCTAAAATAAACGTTTCTACGTCTTATAACGACTAAATACTGGAAAAGCATATAAGCGTGATATACTACACAACTTTTGTTAATCTTGCTTTCTTTTCTGAACAAATCCTTATCAGGTCCGCACTTGGTGAAGAATTATTGGACATATTTCACAGACATACCGATGCAACAGTATGATTTATTACAACATGATTATTGGTTGACCGTGTTTTAACAAATCTTCCTTGGTCATTTTCCTACATCAAATATATATTGCTTATGCCTAAATGCGAAATGCGTTTTTCCTGTTCACTCTTTTCAGGGGGAATGAGAAAATGTACAATTTTCTGAAAAGTGGCCAATTTTGCTCGATAAATCGTAGCAGGAACTGACCGATATCGCCATTTTTTGCATGGGAATCAGCTGTCATCTACAGCCGTGATCGAGAATTCAATGATCAATTCCATCTATATTATACAGATTTTTGATGTGGATAGAACTCGGTATGATGAAAAATATTGACCGATTACCTTTCCACTACATACACGTTTGTTAATAATGCTAAAAACTCGTTGGTGGAAGCATAACGCACCTTATTAGTATTCTTGATTGTTCAGGCAAGACTTGTGAATTTTGAAGTCTTTCTTCGGTGGCGTTTGTGTTTGTTGTGTTTAGAATTTTCTTCAACACAAGCAGTTCAACTGTTGATTTCCCCCTTATTAATGACAATCCCTTGTGGGCGGAAGTTTTGAACAACATTTGTCATTCGTGACAGATGAGTCAAATATCAAACGCGTCAAATATCAAACGTCAAATATCAAACACGAATGACAAATGTTGTTCAAAACTTCCGCGCACACTAGGAAATTTTGTCGATCGCACTTGTCACGAATAACAAGTACGCGCGGCAAGTTCACCATTGTGCAGCGGGCTTTAGTCTCGCTATAGTATAGTAGCTACAAAGACCTTTTGCATAACCCAAATTTTGTGGCAATTATAACGTGCTAAACTCAAGTTCTTTCACAAATTATGGAAATTATGTGGAGAAGAAACATGGAACCTTCTTAAATTTGGTCTCATTCAGCATCTGCAATGAAATACGTATTATGAATTTAAGACTTTTTCTTCATAAACGCATGCATCTTTCTTATAAACCTCTTATCGCAGGCACGATGCCTAAAAGTATAGCTTTGTGACAACTAAGAGAAATGGGCAAAATACCAACAAGTTTAAGTCACACGCCCGTCTTTTAAAAGCTCGCTTAGTCTCATTACGTGGTGCTTCAATATTATGACTTCATAATTATTTGAAAACAGTATTTTCACTTCAATGATTGCTAAGCTTGATTAGAAATATGTTAGAAAAAACATTGTCATTGAAGGCATTGATTGAGAAATAACTTTGCCATTGAGTAAAGAGAGCGCAAATTATATGTTACACTCTGTGTGTGTG